GTTCCGTCCAGGAGTCCTAGGCTTGCCTATGGGAGTTGACGGAATAGGACTCAGTCGGGTCTTCAGATAACGTGGTCGTATAGGCGTCTTGAAGAGGTGGTCGGTCTGAGTCGCTACAGAGTTTACTGGATCGATTGGACGGAGAGGACGACGGACACGTGGAGCTCTTGGTGGTAAATCGATGGGATAGAGCTTCCACGGCAAAAAGGTCTCTATCCTGGAGATCGGGATAACGTCCTTCGCCTGGATCTCAGGAGCCGATACGTTTTCGGGAACCGGATCGGTGATGGGTATTAGCTTCCAAGGTAGATAGGTTTCTACCTTGGAGGACGAGATCGTATCTTGTGATGTACCCACAGGAACAGGAGCTGGAGTAGGGCTCGGTTGGTCTGGAGTCGATCTCGGAATGGATGGTGATCTGTTTTCCACCGATTGTAGTGTTGCTGGGTCAGTATGACCCCACCGGGCAATCGGGGTAAACCTCCACTTGGTCCTGGACTTGTTCAATAGGAGACGTTTCCCAGGTGGTAGAGTTTCTACCTTCGTGATCACGATGCGATCCTTCGTCTTGGATATTGGAACAGGAGTCGGAGTCACAGGAGCCGGAGTACTCGGAGTCGAGGCCGTAGTAGGAGGCAACGTCTTAGACTCAGGAGCCGGAGTCAGGTTCGTAGGCAACGCCTTGGACTTAGGAGCCGGATAAGTAGTCGCCCAATGGGCTGGGTCGCGACGACCCCGGAAACCTTTCCGCAGCAGGATGCTGGTTGTCTCTCAACTGTATTAACGCCCTGCCAAGCAGGTGTTTTTACGAAGGCCCACTGCCGAGCAACACTTCGTAATCAAAAGAGACTTATGTCAGGGGCCCCGATAGGTAGCACGCCCTGACTGGCGTTCTCGAAGATCGCTGGAGAGGTCCCGCTGAGCTGCCCTTTATATAAGGATCGATGTCGAACTTTACTTACGAGAGAGATACGCCGCGTAGCGGTGCGCGCCGAACTATTCCGCCGGTCGATACTCATGCCGCGCGCCGATC